CGCTGCAGCCACTCCCCGACACGGCTCTGCCGAGCGGAGCTTCGCAAAGGCCGCGGCCGACTGCAGTGTCACCCCTCTGCTCCTCAGTTCACCTTCACGGGGCTGAGGAGCAACCGATTTCATGCCGTGGCAATGGATATTTCCACGCCCTGTCCTTGAGCAGCGCGGAGGGAGCCAAAACACAACACTTCACCGACCGGTGAGGAAGCAACGCTGCTTTCACACACCACAGCTGAGCTGTTGCTCCAGCTCCAGCTGCTAACTGGTATAGAATCATAGAATAACTGGTATAGAATCACTAGGGATGGAAAAGACCTCCAAGATGATCCAGTCCAACCAAGAGTACATGCAGAAAACACGCTGCTGGGGACCCTGCCATGGGGAAATGCAGCTGCGTGCGCTGTTACTGCGGCGTTGGTGGAATAAAGCAGGGAAACAGCGGGAGCGTGGAGCTCCTCTGCCCCCATCAAACCTTTGGAAGAAGTAAAAGGAGGGAGCTCACGATGCGCTCGGGATCACAGAATCACAGCACGGCAGGGGGTGGAAGGGACCTCTGTGGGTCACCCAGCCCAACTCCCCTGCCAAAGCAGGGTCACCTAGAGAAGGCTGCACAGGGCCATGTCCAAGCGGGTCTTGAATATCTCCGGAGAAGGAGAATCCACAACCCCTCTGGGTAACCTGTTCCAAGGCTCAGTGACCCTCAGAGTGAAGAATTTCTTCCTCATGTTCAGCTGCAACTTCCTCTGCTTTGTTTTGTGCCCGTTGCCCCTTCTCCTGTCACTGGGCATCACTGAAAAGAGTCTGGCCCCATCCTCCTGACACCCACCCTTCAGATATTTATGAACATTTATTAGGTCCCCTCTCAGCCTTCTCTTCTTCAGGCTGAACAAGCCCAGTCCCTCAGCTTCTCCTCATAGGAGAGATGCTCCAGTCCCCTCATCATTCTCGTAGCCCTCCGCCGGACTCTCTCCAGTAGCTCCTCATCTTTCTTGAACTGGGGAGCCCAGAACTGGACCCAGTACTCCAGATGGGCCCTCGCGCGGGCAGAGTAGAGGGGGAGGAGAACCTCCCGCGACCTGCTGGCCACACTCCTCTTAATGCACCCCA